GATGCTCCTTTCCCGCTGTCTCCTGGCCACTTCTCCCGAAGGTGGCCTCTCTCCAGATTTCTACCACCGTTGATCTGTGGGTTGTTTCCAGTCTTAGACTATCAGGCTTAATATTGCTAAGAACATCCTTGACCATGTGTTTGGTGAACAGATGCACGCTTTTTGCTTGAGGATAGAGCTAGGAGTGGACTAGCTGGGGCGTAGGACACACACATATACTGAACTTTAGGAGATTCTGCTAGTTTCCCAAAGTGGTTGTACCAATTTACACCCCATAAGCAAGATATGAGAGTTCAGAAGCTCTACATCCCAGCTGACACTTGCCATCGTCACTTTTGACATTTTAGCCACCTCGATAGGTAGGTTCTCTGGTGTTACTGACGAAATTAAGCACCTCTTCATACGTTTATGGGCCATTTGGATGCAATGCAATCTTAAGGTACATGGCAGTGTTCCAATCTGATCCCGTGGATCGAATCTGATCCAGGGCATCGGGGTTAGTTCTGCCTCTTTTATTGGAAGTTCGCTGACCATCGAAAGTGAGGAATAACGGGAGAGATTGGAAATGTGAAGTCAGGGGATGATGACATTTGGGTGAAAATACTAGTTGTCTTCAAATATTCGAACTGAAATGTGAGAGTTAGGAGACCTAGTCCCTGGGCAAAGTCTAACACGTTTAACAAAATAACTCCCCTGCTTTCTCCTCAGGTAGGGATTGTGTTTGGTCAGCAAGAATGTGGTTCATGAGAGGGTTGAAGACTGAAAGCTGTTTTTTCCCTTTAGATGTCTTTACCTCTTCAGCGCATAACAGATAATTTTGTTATTCTGGTTTCCCATCTACATTTCTCATCGTAACCTCCAAATGCATCTCCTTCTGTTGCCTACCAAGCGTAAACTTAGAAATATAGGCCCAAGTCCTCCGATTGCCTTATTTAAACCCGGGGAGTGGGTGAGCATTCATTTGATTCACCTTTCTGCTACACCACCTCTGCACCCCGGCAGGCGGATAGGTATGCAGCCACCTCAAGGAAATTCAGTACTTCCTAAGACCGCCCAGTTTGACCGTTCTTCCTTACGCCATTTAAATTGGCCTCCCTGTGATTGTTAGCCATGGATCCGAGCTGATCCTTTCGGAGAAAAATCTAACCCATTTCCCACACTGAGTTAAAACTAAAGCCAAACAGAGTGTACTGTGCACGTGAGGAGGGTGTGACGCTGCAGAGATCGAAGGGGCTGGCGGTAGGGTTGCTAGAAGAACACCCATAAAAAGATAATAGAAATTTCCCGTTTTAGAAGACAGTCTCTTTCAACTTCTGCAATGTGAGAAAATGATGAATGATGTGACACATACCACATGGTGATTATAACGTCCTAAGACCTTTTTATGTGAAGCATGTCCCACAGGTTGCCTCTAAACAGCACCGCGAGGCAGGCCTGATCAGCTGAATGGAGGTCTACCATTTCACGGGTACAGAAACTGAAGCTCAGATTAATTTGCTGTAGGTCACACGGCTGCAAAGCCCAGGTCTGTGAGATTTGAGCCCATGTTCTCTCCGCTACTCCACGCGACACCCCATTTGTGTATGTTTTGTGGCACTGTGGGGATGTTTATGACCTCGACAAAATATGTATTTAATTTTAGCACACGTTTGATGCATGTCAACAGTATCGCCATCAAGTATTTGGCCAACTCACTCGCAGTCAAGGACAGAGCACAAAGAGGGCATGGGCCCCGAGGAAGCAGGAAGCATCTGGGGCTGAGGCTGCCCAGAAGAGAGCAAGAACGAGCAAGTGGACGGCACCCCAAAGAGACAGCAGCGGTTCCCTGGGTGAAGGAGTGTGTCTGGGCTTTCGATCTGCCTAAAGAAAACTCAGCAGAACCCCCAAAATGAAAATGAAATAGCAATCTTATTCACTATCGTTTCTCTAAATAGTTCTAGAAACTTCTAAAAGATTTTTCATCTAGTTTTTCACCAATGTGTAAAATAAGGTTTAATGAGTCCCAAAAAAGTGGTACTCGGAACTTAAAAAGGATAATGTCATCTGTCAGGAAACCTTGCCGTAACACTCCAACCACGGCAATTTTTCCTCTGAGCTATTAGGGCGCTTACTGTCTATAAACATCTGTGCCTCATTTTCTATTTAAATATCCTTGAATATCTATTGATCTGTTTATGTCTTCCTTTGCACCATAAGCTTCTGTTTTATAGATCATGTTCTCTCCAGCTTTGCTTCCCCCATGGCAGCCTCCTAGCCCTCTCTTCACACAGTAAGCACTTGCCATTTGATGACTGATAAGTAGGATGTCACGTGAGAAGCTGCAGAAGAGAAGTAAACTAACACTAAGCTAGAAAGACCGTGCATCCAGGATAAATAGCATGAGACAACATTTACGCTTCAAGCTTCTAACTTCACTTCCAAGACTGACACAGAGATCTAAGTTGAAACTCGATTTCTAACCCAAGAGAAGTGTTTCCTACTTTCAACACCTGGCATCTTCCCAGAGGGCTGCCCTGCGACCATTCTTCCCATTCTTCCCTCTGAGACGCCTACTTCCACATACCTCCCCCTCCTCCAAGGCAGAGGAGAGCCAGAGCCTCAATCAGGGACTAGATCTTTCAAGAGTGCAGAGAACAGGAAAATGGGCTGGGTGACATTATTCTGAAGACGGCACAGGTATGATGTCTGTGGATAGCTCACCCATAAAATGACAGTTTTGTCTAAAAGCCGTTTTCCTGGCCACGCCCTCATCAGAAGCTCATTGTTTCATGTGCGCTGTCTAGGATTCTGATTGGCTGGCACTGCCCTGCCTCCCCTCCCCCGCCAGTCCCAGAGGCCTAGTGCTCATGCCTGGACGTGCTGTTTCAGGTTCTCTTGTCTGTATGTGTGGGGTAAGGGTCAGTGAAATCAGGCAACAGTTGGCAGGTGACCATCATAATGACAAGTATCTCTTGAGCAAGCAAACGCCCAGTGTTGGTCAATAATGATTTTGGCCTTTCCCGGGGCCTATGAAATTTACCAGTTGCAATGCACTCAGTACTTAGCTTAAGGGATTTTTGTGAAGTAAATGTTTGACCTGTCCTGACTGGCCAAGTGCATAGTCCCAACCAAATTGACCCCAAGATAACTCGCAACCCCATGTGGTACTAGAGTTTCTCAACCCAATGTGACACTGGCGAAATGTGTTTTCAGAAGGTGAGATATTTTCTAGCTGTTCATATGTTTATTACAACTACAGTTAACATTTAATGACCCACGTAAAACTGGCATTTAAAAAACAACCGAAAAAGCAAGTGAACCTCCTCGAATAAAGCCCAGCCCTGTAACTAAATTTACTGTGTGTTTCGAAATGTTGTAAAACACAGTTGACTTAAAGGAGGGAGAAAGGGCTCAATTAATGATGTTTCTGAGTGAATTTACTGGTGTTGTGAAAACCAGTCTTGATATAAGTAGAATCATATCTCATAATTAAGCAGACCCCCTGGGGAGAAGCCAGTCTTAATAAACGCCAGAGCTTTCTATTTCCGCGTCATTGCATGAGCAAGCTCCCGCAGACACGGCTTTGCTCTAGCGAGAGGAACGTGGGCGTTGAGGTCGATCTGTTAAGATTCGACCTTTCACTGTCATTCTAACGACTGAAAAAAGACAGTGTTTACTGTGGAGAAACAGCAGCATCCATGCACCTCGGACCGCTGCTTCCCTGAAACGAGTGCCAAGCCACAGAAAAAGTTAGATTAAGAATTTACCTCTTACCGAGTGAGCATTCTCCGCCCTGCCTCTGGGATCCCAACCCACGCAGCTGGTTTCCTGCTTTAACCTGTGAAAGCTTCGAGAGTTCCAGTAGTTATTACATCAGAAGGTGTACACATAGTGAACGCGGTATGTCCTTTCTGTAGCTAAATCAAAACTTCCTTTGTCTAAGAAAGTACTCTCCGGGTCTACCTTCAATTACTAAGCTCATCATTTTCTAAAACTCTCCATCTATTTAACACCCATCATGGACCAGGCACCGATTAAACCATCTTGATTAATCTTTACAACAATCCTACGAAGTACGTGCTATTTCTACCCTGAAAATACTAAAGCTCGGAGACAAAGGTTAACAGGGTCTCACAGTTAATGTGTACGTGGCAGCTGAGCTGAAGCCCAGGCCTGGAGACCTGGCATTGAGGAGAGGACGTAGTCAGTAAGGCAAAATTCAGCCCAACTAGACTGACCAAGTGAGCTGTACTATTGTGAAAGGTATTCTTATCAAGCTCAGTACCTACACTGGGGGACTTCCAGTACATAAATTCTTCTAAGTTTTTGAGAATAGGGGTGAAATTGATCACTGGACTATGTGTCCCAAGAGGTAGCGAGAGTTTTTGATTGGATATGTGTTAAGGTCATTTAATTTTTAAGATTCGGTAATGGGATGGATGAGTTTTGGGGCAGAAAGGAAGCATGAGATGGTTTGTCAATGGAACTTCTGAGAACCGAGAGGATTATCTGTGGTTGCATTTAAATGCTACAACTAATTT